TGGTCATCACCTGCACATGATGGAGGCAGTCCAATAACGCAGTACATAATAGAAATGCGTACTGTGAGTTTTCTTTCCCCTAAGATTAAAAAATTCAACCATCTTATCATAATCCTTGAGGCAACAAGTAAAAAGTGGAAGAATGTTGAAACTACCAAGGAAAATTTCGTGACATTGTTCAACCTTGTACCCGGCGAAACATTTGTTTTCCGCGTTCGAGCGGAAAACGCAATTGGACAGTCAGAGCCGTCAGCGGAGTCGGAACCCGTACTTATAAAAGTAGGTGTTTTCATTCCTTCTTTGTGATTATAATGGAAGATGTATGCGAATTTTACAAACGACACATTGCTACCGTCCTTTTACTTCCTGTTTGTCTCCCCCAGCTCCTAAACCCACGTACCATCTTCTACATCATGTATCTTTTAGATACCTAAGAAGCCCGAAGAGAAACCCGAGCAGAAGATCTCAGCTGTTGAAGAAAAAGAAAAAGCTGATTATGAAAAAGTGGATGCATTAGAAGAAAAAGCCATCGATGTCAATCGCCTACCCAACGATCTGGAAGCTAAGGTTGTTTCGGAGAATTAATGTCACGTTTAAATTGAATAAAATAATAGTATTTAGTACACTATTTGCGAAGAGCTCGGACAAGGAGCTTATGGCACAGTTTATAGAGCCATCGAAAAGGCTACTGGGAAGACGTGGGCTGCTAAAATTGTGCAGGTAGTGGAACATCTCTAGATTAGTTATAAAGTGCAACCACTCATGAAATTTGAAAGAAATTTTTTTTATTGCTTTTCTAGGTTCGACCAGGTGTAAAGCGAGAAGATGTACTTCACGAAATCTCAGTGATGAATCAACTACATCACGATAAACTTCTACAGTTGCATGAAGCTTTCGACCTCGGCAGTGAAATCTGTCTCATTGAAGAATTGTAAGTTTATGCATATATATGTACAAAATCGGCTGCTGATGTGAATATATTATACGAAACAGTTCATAACTTCTTTGAAGTCGAAATATCCCATATTTGATTTGCTAAAGATCAACCTGATCTCTTCGGCAAATCAAATATAGGATATCTCGAA